CAACGGACAAAGTAGGCGAGGACTCCAGTATCCCGCTGGATAACATGTACCGCCCTCTCCTCATGGGTTCGGACGATAGAAAGATCTCATGAGAGGGCGCGCACACGCACGCACACACACACGCACCCGCACACATAACTATACACACACACTCACACGCTGCCGAGTAAACCTAAAGAAACACAATAGAAATATACTACAAAATTAAACATACATTTTTCCATGCCATAACATAGTAATTCAGATGTGTAGTTGCTAATAGACGCATTTCCGGCCATTTTACATTTGTTTATATAACTGCGAATTTTAGAATAAAAATATGAATATCAGAACACCCATTTAATTTACCAATGTGAAGGGAAATTTTGTGATAAAAAAAGACAAATGACTGAAATAGAAAAGGAACTCAATAATACAACCTATTTTCTGCTGTATAACATCAATTCGTCAGCCATTACAAAGAAGGGAAATTGCATAGAAATGAGAGAGAAGGGGAAAGAAAAAGGGAAACGAAAGCAATAAAAAGGTATTAAAAGAAATCAATCGATAGGGATTATTATGACCGTGTGATGATTAAAATTCCACCGCAGTTAATGAAACGATTTGATGAATTTCTGCATTCTTTTGCTGTTTGCTTCAAATTATTAATGTGTGCGCGCATACACACACATATAAATATACGTGTGTATATATATATATGTGTCTGTCTGTATACTTAAGTTTTTCTTTTATATGACGTATATCCGACCAAATGATATATACATATAACGTTTGATACCAAGAAGGAAAAGGTGAGTTGATATTATTTACTGTATTTTTCTTTTTCTTCCTTTAAGAAAAAAAACAAAAAAACTTGAAAAGACTGTATGATGATATATGAGAAAAGTTGAAATGAAATGAGAAGTTATGAGAAGTTTCTCAATTTCCGTCAAGATGGAAAAAAAAAAAATTACTCTTCAAATTAGGCCTGCCATCAAAGTAAACAGCAGAGGTCTCCTTTTTTCACTTTCTGATATATACCAATGTCTAATTTTGCACAGAGCGCTGCCATAATTATATTATTATTATCACTATTAGTTATTATTGCCTTCGGGTCTAGATTGTTATTGTTATAAAATTAGTATTAATAATGATCATTGTAATGCCGTTAAGGAAGCTCGTAAAAGAATATTGCCTACCATAAAAGTATCAATTTGTGACATTATGGTGATAATAGCATGATGACATTTGAAACAATAACAATATGGAAAATATATGATAATATATGATAAGGAAAACGATGGCAATAATATTAATAAGAAGAAACAGAATGATAATAGTGATAACAATGTAAATAAAATTATAATGATAACGATGATGATAAAATGATAACAATGATAACAATATTAGAAATAATAATGATAATAGTAACAAAACTGACAATATGAATAGACAATTACACTAACATTAACGATGACAACGACAGCAGCATAAAGATAGCAATAATAATAACAGGGAAACTTTTTATTTTTTATTATTTTTTTTTAATCATCATTATCATTTTGTCGCTGTAAGATTTATCTTTTACTAAGCAAACGATACCTATTACAATTTTTTTTTGTTCAATGTAAACTTATAAAGGGTTAATTATACATAGTTTTAACAAGTAAGAATGAAAATGAATGAAATGCAATGCTACCGAATGAAAATGTTCATTTGCACAAACAAGGAAATTAAATGGATTATTATCAGAAGGAATAACAAATGTAAATATTTTGATGAAGAGTTTATGCAATAGATTTTTGTTGTTGATATTATCATCATTGTTAATGTTGTTCACTATTATATTGCTATATATTATTATTCTCATCATTTTACGTGAAATATAAAATGCTGAGAATAATAATTATAATAATTCTTTGTACATTATAGAAAACCTTCACAGTACACATTACATACCATTGGAAATCTTGGCATTTAACCTTAGAGTAATCTTAGCTATGTTTTTTTTTCTCTGTCTTTCTTTCGTTAACTTTTACTGTTTTCCTGCCTTTTTTTTTTTTATTTCCCTTTTTCAACTTCGCCATTCTCATCCGGATTACGTTTTTTTTCAATTTCCTCTCCATTTTTTCTGCCTTTACTATTTTTCTACTTTTTTCATACGTGTTTTTATGTATCAAATTTCCACCTTTTGTTTTTTTCTTTTTTTTTTCTTTCCTGTTTTTTTTCTTTTCAACTTCTTACTTGTTATATTTTTCAACCTTTTTCCTAATTTTTTTAAAAATATTTCTCAACCTTTTTCTTATTTTTTCGTATTTTTCTTATAATTTCAACTATTTCATTTTTGTTTTCTTATTATTGCAACTTTTTTCTTCAATTTTTAATTATTTTATTACTTTCTCAACTTTTATTCTTATTTTTTCCCCTCATATTTTCATTTTCCCTCATTTCAACATTTTCCCTCATATTTTCAACATTTTTCTTTGCCTTTCCTACCTTTGGGTCCAAACGTCAATACTGGATTGCTATTGAGTCTTAGGACGACTTCATCGACGGCGGCAAGAAAAAGTACCCTGGTCTGAGATGGTTTAAGAAAAAGGGGTTTTGTGTTTTCGTCTCTGAATGTAGGTATCAAAAAAGGGGTGATGAGGGCTGTTTTTCTTTCGTGTTTGTTTTGTTTAGATGTTTTGTTTGTTTTTCCTGTGTCATTTTTTTTTCTTACATTCTGTCTGTGTTTTTGCGTGTCAGTCTGTATTTTCGCATGTCAATCTGTGTTTTTGCATGTCAATCTGTGTTTTTGCATGTCAATCTGTGTTTTTGCATGTCAATCTGTGTTTTTGCATGTCATTGCATGTCAATGTGTCATGTCAATCTGTGTTTTGCATGTCAATCTGTGTTTTTGCATGTCAATGTTTTTGCATGTCAATCTGTGTTTTTGCAATGTCAATCTGTGTTTTTGCATGTCAATCTGTGTTTTTTGCATGTCAAATGTCAGTCTGTGTTTTTTTTGTGTTTTTGAGTTATTCTGTTTATTTTATTATTTTTGATCACGTGTTTTTGTTTATCCTTCTGTGTGTCTATGTGCCTTGTCTCTCTGCGTCTGCCTATGTCTCTTTCTTTTCACTTCATTCCCCTATCCCCTCCCTCCCTGCATTCTTCATTACTGTTGAGGAAGTTCTGATTGCGAAAGTAAGCAATTGTTCGTTGTTTATTCAACTGCACAATGCAGCTGCAGCTCTCTCTCTCTCTCTCTCTCTCTCTCTCTCTCTCTCTCTCTCTCTCTCTCTCTCTCTCTCTCTCTCTCTCTCTCTCTCTCTCTCTCTCTCTCTCTCTCTCTCTCTCTCTCTCTCCTCTCTCTCTCTCTCTCTCTCTCTCTCTCTCTCTCTCTCTCTCTCTCTCTCTCTCTCTCCCTCTCCCTCTCCTCTCCCTCTCCTCTCCCTCTCCCTCTCCCTTCCCTCTCCCCTCTCTCTATTTTAGGTAGTATATATATATATTTTTCACTTAAAATAGAAATACTAATGCTAATAGTAGTAATAACAAAATATAACAATCTGCACTAGACATTATGCTCAAAGGAGTTTCTAGCTGATGACAAAGAAGGATCGATCAATTTAAGACGAATTCACCAGTACAAGGAAACAGAAAAGGAGACGAAGCTGGGAGAGAGAGAGAGAGAGAAGAGAGAGAGAGAGAGAGAGAGAGAGAGAGAGAGAGAGAGAGAGAGAGAGAGAGAGAGAGAGAGAGAGAGAGAGAGAGAGAGAGAGAGAGAGAGTGAGAGTGAATGAGATAGATAGAGAGAGAGAGGGAGATAGATCGATAAATAGAGATAGATAGATAGATCGATAAATAAATATAGATAGATAGAGATCGAAATAGAGATAGATAGATAGAGAAATAGAGATAGATAGATAGATAGATAGATAGAAGATAGATAGAGAGAAGAGAGAGAGAGAGAGAGAGAAGAGAGGAGAGAGCGAAAGAGATAGATAGATATTAAAGAGAGCGATTTTGGAATTACCCAGAAATAGAAATCCTTTTGATTCGTCTTTGTTGCCATAATATTGTATATTTAAGATTTACTGACGGCTTTTCCGACAGATATGTCTCAATTGTCAGTCTTCTCGATTGTTTGAAGACTCATATGTAATTTGAATTGCTTACAAAAGACCCCCAAGACGATAATGAAGTTCTGCAATCAGATTTGTCAGTAGATGTAAATTTCCTAGAGGAATCTGATTGCAAAAATAGGTATGAAGGAGAATTAATATCTTGACAAAGATGTTTGTGGGCGGTTTCGATTATATCTTCGACTGAATATGATGAGAATATGATCGAATTCAGGCAGATAAATCACTTGCACTAAGCTGTCAGTTCCCATTCATATTCCTTCTAGATTTGCTACAATGAACAGCTCATGAAACCTCTTTGTAAATACATGAATATGCACTCACACACATATGTATGTACGTGTGTTAGTGTATGTATAATTGTGCGTGTGCATGCTAGTATGTGTGCATGTGCGTGCGTGTGCATGTGTGTGTGCGTGCGTGCAGGCGTGTGCCTGCGTGCAGGCGTGTGCCTGCGTGCAGGCGTGTGTATGTGCGTGCGTGTGTGTGTGTGTGTTGCGTGTGTGTGTGTGCGTGCGTGCGTGTGTGCGTGTATGTTGTGTGTGTGTATATGCGTGCGTGTATGTGGCGTGCGTGTGCGTGCGTGTAGTATGTGCGTGCGTGTGCATGTGTGTGTGTGTATGTACGTGCGTGTGTGTATGTATATGTGGTCGTGTGTTTTCCCGTAACCATTTGAACAATGTTGCGTATCCCCAGCGGTTCTCTGTCCCCCAGTTTCGACAACAATCCCACATACTACATAGCGTGTTGCAACGGAAATCGGCTCAACATGGTGCACAAAGCGAGGATATTTCAGATTCGCAGTTAAGTAGACAGGCAGACAAAGAGATAGATCAATGGAAAGGGAGGGGGATAGAGAGATAGGTTGATAAACAGAAAATTAGAGAGTAGACA